CCCCAAAACCCCAAAACCCCAAAACCCCAAAACCCCAAAAGATAATAAATTTCCCCTCCAACTTCTTCATTTAACAAAATATCCTACACTTTCAATGGAACAATGAAAACACCTCATTTACTCACGAAGACATCAACTGAGAGTTTCACGGTCCTTCTGGAGACTACATTACCACCTGTACTGCTACTTTCGTCTCTGAATCCAAAATCAATCTCAAATATAGTGTCTCTCTTCAGATAATAGGAGGCGTTGGAGAGATATTAGTTGTGAGGTTTCTAAACATAGAGTCATTTCAAAGTGTACATTTAGTGCCTGTGTCGAATACTTTTTAATATAGATATGAATTTAAAACTGTTGAAGCTTCAGAGCAAACGCAAGCTACAGGCTCTGGAGTTTCGTACACATTTATCCTTTCCTTTGCTGTATTCTTAATAACCAGTGTTCTTACCGGTGGCTCAATGGAGTTATTGTGCAGTCTGGCAAATACTCTTCAAATAGTTTTCATTCTTGGCTTACTAAACTTATATTACCCTGCAAACTTGTCAGCTTTATTCAGCTATTTGAAATACTCTAACTTTGATAACCCAGTCACAGAGATGCCATCCTCTTTTGCTTTGAAGAGTATCGACATAATAGATTCTCCTATTAGTGATGAATTTGAGAAGCTTGGGTTTTCTTCTACGAATTTTATGAAGAACTCTCTTGACATAATCTTTATGCTGTTCTTTATAGGTTTGCTTATGTTGTTCATTTACCTGCTATTTTCATGTATGAAGACTAAATCAAATTGGTTTGCGAAGAAGGTTAAAAAGTTGGATACCTCCCTTAGGTATCAATCATCAACCAGGATTATTGTGGAGATGTCCATGAATTTGTCAGTCTCTGTGCTTATAAATATCTTTTATGGTAAGGCCGAAGGAGCAATTGGCATATGCTCTTACATACTAGCTGTAGCTCTCATGGGACTAATGATCTTCCTTGCAATCTATGTAACTGTATTTCCACTATATTATGCAGAAGCCCATACAAATCCTGAAAAATTCGAGACACATTCCTTCTTGTTTGCAGAATTCAAGACCTCTAACCCAAAATGCTTCCAATACTATTCTTACTTTTTGATTAGAAGGATGCTGATGGCTGGTGTTATTGTCTGCTTAAGACAAAGAAGTCTCCTCCAGTTGATCTGAATCGTTATATTAGTATACAAAATGTGCAAATACCAGCTGGTATATAGATCATTTAAATATCAGGTGACAAACTTCCTCTGCTGTGTTAATGAACTCTTCTTTCTAGCTTTCTCTTTAATTCTCTTTGTGTTCAAAAATCCTGGAAACCCAGCCACGATTCAAGTATTCGGGTTCATCACTACTGGGTTCTTGGCCATCTTCTTCATACTTAACTGGGGAGTCATTTTTCCTCTGAAGGTGAGGGATGTCTGCTCATATATAAAGAAGAAATGTAGAAAAAAAACTCATGAAGTGAGGGAAAAAGGAAACAATTTGTCAAGGATCATCCTGTGAGGCCTCAAGGATTCAGGGAAAACAATATCGTAATTAACTCCAGAAATCCTCCTAAAATGCCAAGGATCGACAAAATTTAAATGGAAAGAAGACATAAGGCCATGAAGCTCAGAGTAATAGAAAAATACCGAAATCTCCCAAAGAAAAGAGTAACCTTGAAACTAAGAGACTCTTCAATGCCTCCTCGCCCAATAAAATCCCTAAATCCTAACCTCCTACCCTTCTAAACCCAAATCCCTCTTACCCCCTTTTCCACCTCCACTCAAAATTCTAAAATTTCTTCATCCTTTCTCAAAATTTCTACTATCAAACCCCTTTTTCCTATCCGAATATTTCCTCCAGGGAAAATAGAAATTTTGTACTTCCTCGAAGAGTTTTGGGAATTTGGAATTTTGAGTTCAATGATTTGGAGAAGTTAGGGGTTTTGGGGTTTTGGGGTTTTGGGG